TGGATTTGTGTTGACTTTTAAGAAACTACACAGCACCAAAACAGCCTTAGTTAGGGTCTGCAACAACCTTCTTCTGGCAAATGACTCTGGTCAGTCTGTGATCCTGGTACTCCTTGACCTTACCGCTACATTTGATACTGTGGACCACAGTATCCTTTTATCCCAGCTAGAACGCTGGGTTGGGATTACTGGTGCAGTGTTAGAATGGTTCTGTTCATACCTGAGCGACAGGAGTTTCTGTGTTAATGTTGCTAACACTATTTCAGTGCCTCTTTCCTGCAGGGTCCCGCAAGGCTCCATTCTTGTGCCCCTTCTGTTTTCATTGTATCTGCTCCCCTTATGGTCCATCATGAGTAAACATGGTCTTTCCTTTCATTGATGATGATTCTCAGATTTATCTGCCGTTGAAACCTAAAGCCCCCAGTATACTCCCGCGTATGTCCATATGCGGAGCCACGAACGTACGTACGCGGAGATACGAGCGGTACCCCAGGGCATGTCCGTGCAAAGCTCAATTTTTACGACCGCTTACGTGTACGCTGTGTCGCACAATAAACTGCCTGGCGACAGACTGTTTTGTACGCAACACCAATGTATTAAATTCCCGTTCTTCATCCCTGATCTAGCCTTTTCTTTTGTTTTTTTTTGCCAAGAGGCAAGCGATCTCTTCCTCCTACGTTGATGCCATGACTGAAATGGTGAGAAATGAAGGAATTTGTCATGAGCTAATTTAACTCAGGTCCAGCATGGCTGCGGGAGGGTCTGGAGATTTCCTGGTGAGCTGGTCTGATGTGTGGGCTGCAGAGCCAGTGCTCCCTGTTTTTTTAATTTTTTTTTAGATCTTTTTATTAACAACATAACATAGAACACTGCTGCGGCTGAGGCTGCCAGTGCTCAATTTTTTTTTCTTCCGACCTGTCAATCAATCCAGTAGGCGTGTCAGCAAATGACCACTTGGCGAACTCAATTTGTCCCAAAGGTAAACGCCCCTTGTCTGTGAAGCTGCTCTGCAGCAGCTCAGGGTGTACGCTCGAGTATCAAGTCTGAACCCTCTGCGTACAGTACGTGCGTACGTACGCATGGACGGACATACGTGGGAGTATACTGTGGGCTTAACAGTTCCTGCTCCTTTCGCCCTTTGCTAAAATGTCTTGATGACACCAAGACTTGGATTGCTGCGTACTTCTTGAGTTTTAATGATCAGAAGACTGAGGTCATTGTGTTTAACCCTAGCTCTTCCACTGATCCTGTAAACTTGGACTCCCTTCAGCCACATCTAAAACAGTCTGTTACCAATCTTGGGATAGTTTTAGACTCGGACTTTAAGTTTAATAAACAGATCAACTCTGTTCTTCAAAAAAGCTTCTTTCAGTTAATGCAGATAGCAAAGCTCAAGTCTGTGCTATCCAGATCCGACCTTGAAAAATTAGTCTATGAATTCATTACAACCCGGCGGGACTACTGTAACTCGTTTTATGCTGGGATCAGTCAGGTCTCCCTCTCATGTCTTCAGCTCGTCCAAAATGCTGCAGCTCAGCTATTAACAGGATCTCGCAGGTTTGAGCACATTACTCCAGTTCTGTCCTCCCTTCACTGACTTCCTGTGCGTGTCAGAATTGATTTTAAAATTCTTCTGCTGACATTTAAGTGCATTAATGGCCTTGCACCATCATACCTCTCTGACCTTCTTCATCCTTATGCTCCTTCTCGGACTATGAGATTATCAGACCAGCTGCTTTTGGTGGTACCAAAAACCGGGTTGAAGCTCAGAGGAGATCAAGCGTTTTCAGTCGTGGGCCCTAAACTCTGGAACAATCTGCCCATCAACATTAGACAGGCCACCTCAGTCTCTGCTTTTAAATCTCAAAACACACCTGTACTCATTGGCATCTAACTCAGGGTGATCTGATATAGTATTTCACTGTTTCTAATTATATTTTGGGTTTTTATGCTTTTATTCCCGATGCTGTAATCAATCAACCTTTATTTATACAGGTAAATCCCATTGAGCCTCGAGGACTCATTTACAAGAGAGACCTGATTTCAACAAAGAAAGATGACAACAATGGACAACAGCAACAACAATAAACAGTTATAAAAACTCATACTACAGTTTTTTTTTTTTTTTTTAACAAATAGGATGGCTAAAAGGAAAAAGGTAACAAAACCAAAAAAAACTGCTAGATTCCGAGACAAATGTATAAAACTAAAAACAGGAACATGTCTGCATTGGTCCCTGCCAGGAGTCCAACAGATTCTTAAAGCCACTTAGAGAGGTCAAGGTCGAGAGCTTCAAATCTTTTTGTAAGATATTCCAGGAAACAGGAGCGGAGTAGGAGAAGGCCCTTTTGCCTAGTTCAGTCCTCACTGAGGGAACACTGCAGGTAATAATGTCCTGAGAGCGCACTCCGTAGCTGCACTCACGCAGAGACATGTAGGAGGAGATGTATGAAGGCAGCAGACCAAGAAGTGATTTAAAGATGAAAATGTACCAGTGAGA